CAGGGCCGGCACTCGCCCGCCCTCACACCACTCGCTCCATCCCCATTAACCACCCGACGCGCCCGACAGGGACGGAGCAAACGCAGCGACTCCCCCTCAATCCCCCTCGCACTGCGCCCAGCAGGAGGGAAACCAACCGCCGCGTCCTTGCTGAACCGAGACCCGCTTTATTCGAAGCCCAGCCCTGCTCCGATTCACTCCAGCACATTCCCAATCACCTTCGGCGCATTGCTAATCAGCACCAGAATCAATTCGACGTCTGCGAGCAGCATTTCTAAACCGCGGACGGCGCCTCTCTAGCATCCCTCTCTGCAGGAAGAGGCCGTGTTTTATTTCTCTTTCCTTTTGTTCAAGTTCATTTGTATCCACGTGGCATTTCTCACCGAGAGATCCTACCCCCTTCCAGCTGGCAGCAGGCTCGTGTGCTGGTTATAAATAAAAACCAGTTTTCTGCAGCGATTTGCCTGGGCGGTGGCAGCGCTGGGGGAGCCCTGGACCCCCCGTTGGGGACGATTTCCTCGCCCTGCTCACTGCCCTCCTGCAGCCGGGGGGTCGGGCCTGGCCGGGCACTCGCCCTCTCTAGCAGCTTCTCGTCTGCGCATTTTCCAGGAGCGTTTCCTGCGCTAAGGGCACTGAGCGAAGCCCTGAGCCGGCTCAGATTTCCTGGCTTTCGCTGAGCAGGAATTGAAAGGGGGAAAATCAATATGGCAGAAAGAAGAAACGCCTGATCCTGTGTCGGTCCTCACCTTGGGCAGGCTGGAGGTCAACTCGGAAACCACTTTCCGATAATGTTTAAATCCCGCTGGGGGCCGGCAGGACACAACCTCTGGGATCCAGAGGGGAGGTCGAGGGGTCCCTGCTCACACTCCCTGTCCATTGCAGCGCCCGGACCCCTCCTCCAGCACCGGGGGAAGGGGCTGGATGCGGCCACAGCCGCGGTGGAGTGGCGGAGGCAGAGCAGCCTGGGGCTGACCTTGCCCCCCGGCTGCGGGCTGCCACAGGGTCCCCGGGCAGGCGGAGAGCAGAGCCGGGGCTCGTGGCCCAGCAGCGCCTCACGCCCTTTGCCACACGGTCTCTGCGCTGGCTCCGGCACCGCCGCGCTGGCGGGGGCTGCGCAGGACCCCCCGCTCAGGCAGCAAAGGGGAGAATCCGCTCCCTCATTAACAGACTGAGCCACGGCTCAGCCCGGACCTTCCCCGAGAGCCTCGCTGCGTTCCCCCCGTCGGGCCCGAGTTAGCGATGTGACATTTCCAACCTAGAGATAACGAACGTGACATTCTGTCAGGTTTAATTAGTCCCTTTGCTCTGCCGGTGGCAGCCGCTGCGGAGGCAGAGCCTGGCTGGAGGCTGGTGGGGACTGGGGGCTGTCGCCTGCGGAGGCTCCGCGAGCGGAGGGGAGCTCCGGGAGGAGACGCTGGGACGGAGACACCCGCTGCCCGACGGAGCGGTTGCTTTGTCTTGAAAGGCTTGTGCTAACAGCAACCTCCCTTTGCCTGGTCGGGACAACTGAAGGGTCACTCCAGGACCCCCACATTGTATTTTCTATCCTCTGACATCTGTAACAATCTTGCGGGGCTGAAAGAGTTCCGCAGAGGACTGAGGGGGTGTCTCTAGAGAGCAGGAGCCTTGCGGAATATCCTCCACCTCCGCCCCAGCCGCAGGCACCAGGTCCCTGCTGAGGGGCAGCAGGACGGGAGGCCCCGGCTGACCCGACCCCGGGCAGCAGCGCGGGCAGAGGGGTAACGGGGCTTTCTGCGCCCGGTGGCTGCCAACCACGTCCGGCCCAACAGCTCTCCTGCCAGGCAGCGCCGGCAGCCGAGGCAGCCAGGAGAAGTGTCCTGGGGACCTGGGGGGCCTGGCCCGTCCCTCACCCCTGCGAGGGCTCCCGGGAGCTGCCACCACCAATGTCCCCGCAGAGCCCAGCGTGTCCCCGTCCTCGGGGCGGCGATGGCGTAACCCTGCCCGGCCCCGAGGACGGTGCTCGCGCTCGGTCCCGCTCTGGGGCCGCTCGGCTGCAGCTCTCCCGAGTTACCTGCCCGGGCGTTCCCGCTCCTCGTCTGTTCCGTCCGTTCCCGAGCAATTACTGGGAGTTCGCTCCCAAGGGCAGGCAGCCAGGCCTCGATGCGCGCAGCTGCCTGATCTGCATGCGCTCATGCTAATTGTGGGGAAACGATTCATGGGCGGCTTTGTCCCGAGTTTCCTGTCCCCTGAATTGAGCTCTGCTTGTAAAGAGGAGAGATCAGGTCCTCTGGATTTAAAAGAATTCGAGAGGGGATCTTTTTATTTATTGCTCACCCGGTTTTCAGACACGTCGCTGCCGTTAGCGATGCCGTGAGCAAGTGTCTGAGCTCGTCGCAGAACAGAGATGCGATTTGCCTTTTTCAGGTGTCTCCTAAGATAAATGGGAACAAACACTCTACCTGCAGCTACGGTCTTGGGAAATTCACTGGAGATGTGATGTATTGGCAGGAGAAATCGAGCAAAAGTCCGTCTGCAGGGGTTTTATGGGATTTCGAAATCCCTCTCAGGATGGACAGGATAAGACACTGCCCCTGCCTGTAAAACAGCAAAACCTGCAGCTTCTTACGAAGCCCAGCGGGAGATTCCTCCTCCCTCCTTTTCCTCTGCCCGGGACCAGGGGTGCCACCCTGCCCACCTGCGGGGACACGTGCTGGGGCAGCTCCCACCTCCGTGCGTGCGGGTGACACCGGGCCGGGCTGGACACCCCAGGCGGGCAGGAGGGAGGCGCAGCGAGGGGATGCTCGTGCCCTTCCTGTGCGCCTTTAAATCTCTTCTAGAGCAACCTGTCACTCCCGCAGCACGTCAAAGGTAAATTTCCCCGTATCCCTACCGGAGGGGATTATGTTCCCAGCAGGGGTTCAGGGTTTTGGCCGTAATATGATTTAATGTGACAAGTGTAATTGGATGTGACACATCTCCGCAACAATTCGCTACCTTGGAAAATCACAAACAAGTTTAAAATAAAAGGGAACGCATAGGCCTGCATTGCTTTGTACATCGCAGCTGGAAGAAATAAGCACCAAGTTAAGGACTTTG